GCAGGAGCAAACATGCTCCTTGAGCCACGCAGGCACATAGCACCACAACGCACCAGGGCAAACCCAAGGCGGCAGCGCAGCAAGGAGATAATCTGCCCGTATGACTCCTTACTCTTCTCAGCCAGGAGAGAGGCGATCCGCGTGAAAAGAGCATTGTCATGCTTGCCATAGCCACCAGAGGCAGAGAGCACAACCGGCACGAAGGAGGCATGCTCAACTTCACGTACTCGCTCCTCGTACTTCCGGCGCTTTTCCTGTTCATGGCGTCTGTAGCTAGCAGCGAGGGAGGTGGCACGATTCGAAGACGCAAAAGGGTTGAACACCCGTACATCAATAAAGATGCGCTCGAATCGGCCACCCCACACACCACTAGCCGCAACGTCCAGCCGAGCTTGCTCCTCCGTGACAGCTGTGCGATGGCGGAAGGCCTCTCCGGTGACGGGCTTGAGGTGGGGTTCCACTGTCACGTTGTGAGCGACCTGCCTTAGAGCTCCGGCGGTGATGTCCCTCACCTCGTTGTGTCGCAGCGTCGGGAAGCCACCAAACGGGCACGACAGGGCGTGACTCACATTCAGCGGCTTACTGCACACGCAGAGGCTTGGGAGCCGAGGAGGTGTCCAGCCGTACCGGAGGCACAGGCCATCCCGGAAATCTCCCTTGCTGAGTGTGAAACCATGGCGGCTGAGGGGGCGGCAGGTCAGCCAGCTGGATGCACCCTTTTCTGAGGCCAGGTCGAGAACAGGGGCCAGCTCCCGGTGATCCGAGCGAAGAGCGTCAGCCATAGACTTGAACGCGCTCCGCTTCTCGGCCCGAACCGTCGCCTTGACCGTCCGGAGCTGAGTCAGAGAGTCGCCAAGAGACGACTCCTGCTCCAGCAGGCGAGACACGAGGCTAGCCGTGATCCTTCGGGATGAGGTGTACTGTTCAGCCACTGAACAAGGGTCTGCCATACCCAGTCCCCCAAGCCGGCAAGGCAGAGAGAGTAGGGAGCGAACAGTTGTCCCCGGTGGAGCCTGACCCGTGATGGCCGGGATGAGCCGACCGCTGATTGCGTGTTCCAGCGGTTCAAGCAGGGACGGCGGGATGGAGGAGGTCCGGCAGAGGAAGGACCACTTGTTTTGCAGGCCCTGTGTGAAGGCGGAGTAGGCGGCCTGTGGCTGCGATGCAGCGATGGTCGTGAGCTGCGCAACTTCCTCACACCAGGTGGCGACCTTGGACTGGACAAATTGTTCTATAAACTCATCCGTGCCCAAAGGTGCACCAAGGTGGCGGCAACCATCACACGTGACCTGCACACTGGTCCCCTCGAACATCTCGATAGCAGCTGCGTACCTGGAGGGCTTGACCAGAAGGAGTGACTTCTGGGCATTGCAGTGGTAGCCATACCCGGGACCGTGGCTGACGAGATTGTCCCACCATTGGCGAACAGGCGTTAGCTTGCCACCGGCTGCACCCAGGCCTAATTGCATTTGCAGTGCTGTTCAAACTTGGCGCGAAATACGCACAGAAGTACGTTTGTACGATTTTCTTGACCCATGGCCCATGGGAGGGTTGAAATCAACCCGGGGCGAAATTTCAACCCGGGTCAAGCTCAATGCGTCATGTAAAAGGGACAAGATTATTTATTTTTGAGGATTTTCTTTCATAAAAAAATCACCGTCACAGGCCAGGCTTCTCTTTGTAGGTGTCCGCGTCCCAGCGGTCCGGGCAAACGACCGCAACTCAGTGGGACACTTCGCCGTGGCCTTTGTATTGGAATCTGTGGGAGAGCCTTGCCAGGGGCTACACACCTGGTATGGGTACCGGGTACGGGTACGGACAAATCCCTGGTGTTGCTCCTTTTTTTGTTCCTTTCCTTTTTACTTGTTTTTGCTGAGAAAGAAACGTTGCTGGATGGAAAGCTTTCTGTTCCCGCCAGCGCCTTTGCTCTAGTAAAACATTGCATAAGGTGAAGGGAAGCTGGGTTTCTTGCCATTTCCAACTTCCTGACTCTGAAAATGTAGCTTGAACTAAGAGCTCCCTGTATTTTAGTTTTTCGATGTGTCAGACCTAGTGTTACGAGCTTCAGAAATGAGGAGCAAGGGAGGCGTTGGATTAATGCCAAAAATGGTGTTCAGGGTCCGGACGACGCCAGCGGTTTTCACTTGTCAAGAGGACAGCCAAACTGGAGCAGGCAGATGATAGATTTATTACTGTGACTTTGAGCATTTATAGCAGAGTGGGTGGCTTGCCAAAGTCTCAGTACCTCATGGTTACTAGTATCTGACAAATGCCTCGTATTGCTAGTCTGCATTAGAGCATAGCAGAATTGATCATTTCACAAGTAGAGTGAAGACTTGATGTCCTACGATTATACTCGGATCATGTTGCTACTTCACGGGAATATTCGTCCTGCAACTGTACGCTCTCCCAGAATTGCATACAGAAGTCACGTGCCTGTCACAGTGTGCAAGGGGCAACGCGTTTGCATTGCTTATGTGCGGTGCCACACGATTTCATTATGTGCAGAACAGCGGCCGGTACAGAGCTAGAGACATACAGACCCAGAAAGACAGAAACAGAAACAGAGGGATGCATGTATGTGTCACCGCACATAGTCAAACTATCAGATAAAATGGCAAGCGAGAGTCTCTACTTTTTAGAGTACAGTGTGTGGGTAAGCAGACAAGCTTAGTTCATAACAAATTGATAATAAAGTGTAACCAATGCCGTCATTGGATCATGTGTGAGCGACCAAAGAGGCGTACATCACATGTCCTGTACCACTATAACCACACACAAACGTCCAGGAGAATTTCACGTACCGATGGATCTATCATGCTGCCGGGGATCCCTCATATATCTCATACTGTGGTATGTAACCCTCGGGGAATTGCAAGGACCTAAATACGGCAAGCAAATCAGGGACATTAGGTGCAAGACCCGTTGTTCTAGTTGTCTAGACTGCACTGTGTTCTTGAACATACTGAGCCTCCGCGTTGTATCTGTTAAGACATGTGGCATCTGTTGATCTCGTTTGAGTAGCAGTAGTAGGCATGCACTGCATTACGTTTCGATAAAAGGTTTGATAGCTGATGAATGGGTTTATCAGTTGGCTTCCTGTGTGGGTATTGTTTCTGTGGATTGGTTCGGAGCAATGTTCAGATGGGCCAGGCACCTGGCCAACTAATAATGGCAGTCCAAGCTAGTTGAATATCCGGATCACTTTTTCTCACCTGGTCTACACTCCATCCGCTTGCATCCATAAGCATTCAAGCACGCTGTCTCTTGTACATGTACACTGTGACAGGCACGTGACTTCCGCATGCAATTCTGGCAGAGCGTACAGTGGCAGGACGAATATTCCCCTGAAGTTGCAACATGATCTGAGTATCACCTTACGACATCAAGTCTTGACACTCCTTGTGACATGATCAATTCTGCTATGGTCTAATGCAGACTAGCAATAAGAGGCATTTGTCAGAAACCAGTAATCATGAGGTGCTGAGACGATCTGCTATAAATGCTCAAATAATCTGTCATCTGCCTGCTCCAACTTGGCTGTCCTCCTGACAAGTGAAAACTGCTAGCGTCTTCATGGCCATAAACACCATCATTGGCATTAATCCAACGCCTCCCTTGCTCCTCATCTCTGCAGCTTGTAACAATAGGTCTGACACATCAAAAAACTAAAATACTTGGAGCTCTTAGTTCAAGCTACATTCTCAGAGTCAGGAAGTTTCAAATGCCAAGAAACCCAGCTTCTCTTCACCATCAGCATCACGAGCAATTACCATTATCAGCCAGCAATGTTACTAGAGCAAAGGCGCTGGCGTGAACAGAAAGCTTTTCATGCAGCAACGTTTCTTTCTCAGCAAGAACAAATACTACAGTAGTAAAATTCCAGCAACGTTTCTTTCTCAGCAAAAACAAAAAAAGGAAAGGAACAAAAAAGGAGCAACACCAGGGATTTTTCCATACCCGGAACCCAGGTGTGTAGCCCCTGGCCTGGCAAGGCTCTCCCACAGACTCCAGTACAACGGTCACGTACAAGTGTCCCACAAACCTCGTTTATTCAACATAATCATATCCTATCCGATAAGTATCTAATATTGACTGAGTACGAGGTCAATATAGGAAATAAAATCCGAGTAAAAGACCGAGGCGAAGCCGAGGTCTTTTACGAGGTTTTTATTTCCTATACTGACCAAGTACGAAGTCAATATTAGATTTATCACGACAAACAGTCCGTATTTCAAATTCCAAAACGATAACCTCGTGAATCCCGGTTTTATGATTGCACAACCGTTGCACCACCACCTACTCATGCAGTGACAATGCTGCACTAGGCACCGTTCAATTGCGCGACCCCTAAGTCCAATATAAGCAGTCAATATAGCCCTAAGGAGTGAAATATGCAGGAATATTTGACTGCTTAGGTATGGCAAAAATCTATGTGAGTCAATACTAAGGGAGTGATAAAAACATTTATCACTCCCTTAGTATTGACTCGCATAGATTTTTGCCATACCTAAGCAGTCACATATTCATGCATATTTCACTCCTTAGGGCTATATTGACTGCTAATATTTGACTGCTTAGGGGTTGCGCAGTTGAACGGTGCCTAGTGCAGCATTTTCATTGCATGAGTAGGTGGTGGTGCAACGAATGTGCAATCATAAAACCGGGATTCATGAGGTTATCGTTCTGGAATTTGAAATACGGACTGTTCGTCGTGATAAATCTAATATTGACTTCGTACTTGGTCAGTATAGGAAATCAAAGACCTCGTAAAAGACCTCGGCTTCGCCTCGGTCTTTTACTCGGCTTTTATTTCCTATATTGACCTCGTACTCAGTCAATATTAGATACTTCATAAAAACAGTTCATAAAAAACAGCTCGTTAGGATCGGACCCAGTCCGCATAACCAAGAGAGCTGGCTCCCTTGGCTGCTGTTGGAATATGCAAGAAAAGGCCTTCCAGAGAAGGTCTAACAAGAAGAAGTGGCTATGGTTATGAAATGAACACCGGTGACCACGGGGACAGACCACACTCTCATTATAGATACTGGTCACTCCTGGGCGACCTTGAGGATGTGACACGTCGCAGGCAATTGGCCGAGGCTGCCTTCCGATCCATGTGGTCTCTTTGGAAGCGCCGAGGACTGATCCGAGAGCCGCTGCGTATGAGGTTGTACTGCGCCTTTATCATGCCGATACTTCTCTATAATTCAGGCACCTGGGGCCTGACGGTTGCTAGCGAACGCTCCCTGGACGCTTTCCATAGAAGGCAACTCAGGTCACTTCTCGGCATCACATGGCCACAAAAGATTAGTAATTTGGCGTTGTATGCCCGATGTGGAGTGGAACCGGTGTCGGACTTGATCCGAAATTCACGCTGGAGTCTATTCGGGCATGTGCTTCGCCTGGGTAAGGACACGCCAGCACGATTGAGCATGGAGCAATACTTTCAGGCACCCGAGGGGAGGTACCGTGGGAGGCCGAGGGTGACACTACCAATAAAGCTCCACACCGATCTGTCGCAGTCGAACAATGGGCACCTGCGGAGTGTTGAGGACTTGCGCCGTCTGGAGCGGATTGCTGTGGACCGTCCAGCATGGAACGCGCTGGTGAAGAGTGTTTGTGCACACCCTCGTCACGAGTAGAAACAGCCATGGCACCCTTAACAACTCATAACAACCATTCTATAATAATATTACTATTTGAATCTTTTAATAATTATCTGGCAACTCAACCTCATACGTATAATTATCTGGCCACCCATTGACCATGATGCTACATGAGGAGACAATAGTGATGACATTTTTCCAATGAGACCAATTTTATGACGCTCCATGTTACTGAAGGACTAACTTCGATCATTGGTTTTGTAGAGCCCCATTCTCTAGGAGCTGTCTACATCTGCTTTGTTTCAATGTCCAGCATAAGCGAACGTGTGGATCAAGCATAACTGCTTGGTTGACGCTGCCGCGGGAATGCGTATAATAATAATAATAAATATAAATAGACCGAATACAGAAAATGATTTGATAGCCTATGAAGAGTAAAATAAATTGAACCAATGACAACAAATACTCGTCCAGCACAGGAGTTGTCATTAATAATATTATTATTATTATTGCAAATAACGCTGAGTAATTACACGAATGCATAAAATCCTGCATTTGCTTTCGGGAAGGATTCACAAACATAAGACAAAAACACCATAGCTCAATGTAACTGCACATACGAAAAGCAGCTTCTATTGTCAAGTTCGAGTGGCAATTTCGGAAAGACGGTAGACTGAAATGTGATCGTGCACGATGTTCACCCTGCAGGGGATAAGTCAAGGACGCGGCTCGGCAGTAGGCCTTGACGGATTATTCTAGCATGATTTTTCGCATAATTCTTACCAAAATCGAATAATCGCATAATTCGAGGCAAATTGCATACGAATCGCATAAATTGGAATAATCCACCTGTTCGCATCAAATTCCATACAGTTGTACAATGTTCTACAAGTACAAGTACCGGTACCAGGAAGTCGTAGGTTTACGACTCCCTTGATAACATGTCCAGTCCACTACAATCAGTGACGACAAGAGTACATGTACTCTCTTATGTACTCTTGGTGACGGTCGTAGCCAGGTTGGACGGTGCGTTGACCCCGTTGAACTGTTGCTACTACAGTGCAACGCCCTCTACAAAAAAACAGCTCTTGCGCTAGTCGTCATGCATGTAGGTAGGGGGGGGGAGGCCTGCGGCGTCTCCACTCAGTCACAGGACCCCGGCAATCAAATTTATTGTTTTCCACAGCTTTTCTCATTTATATAATTATTATATTATGGACATGGGGGAAGATATCCGATTATGGACATGGGGGAAGATATCCGATTATGGACATGGGGGAAAATATCCGATCATGGACATTGGGGAAGATATCCGATTATGGACATGGGGGAAGATATCCGATTATGGACATGGGGAAGATATCGCGATTATGGACATGGGGAAGATATCCGGATATGGACATGGGGAAGATATCCGATTATGGACATGGGGAAGATATCCGATTATGGACACGGGGAAGTTATCCGATTATGGACATGGGGGAAGATATCCGATTATGGACATGGGGGAAGATATCCACGACATGGGGAAAGATATCCGATTATGGACATGGGGAAGATATCCGATTATGGACATGGGAAAGATATCCGATTATGGACATGGGGAAGATATCCGATTATGGACATGGGGAAGATATCCTTGTTCTTCTTTGAGCCGACTGTTTGAGTATTTTGAGCCGACACGAAGTTGAAAGGGGAACCGATGGTGTATTCTTCTCGGGCTGTGCATTGTCTGAGAGCACAGCTTATACAATTACTCAAGAGCCCAGTAGCACGGAAGAACGTCCATCCTATCCTGAAATCAAGTCAAATTCTAAATGCCACTGTTCACCATTCCCGCTACAATATAGAAACGTGCAACCTGAACCAAGGGTCTTCAAGGCTCTACTGCGGAAACTCTAGTAGTCCCATTTCCTGCAGGTTGTTAGCTACGTCTACGATTCGCTTTTTCTTGGTCACACATAGTGTGAAACCAAGCCAAACATCGTTCGAATTTGGACACACTGGATTGGGATGATGGGAACCAGAGCTGGAAGGAGCACGTCAGCTCCTAGCCAAGCGGAAGAAATGTTATATCACTGACAGGTGTTGATTCGCTGAAGGTCATTGGCTCAAAGCTGTACCTACAACTCCTTCCCACACTTGCCCAAAAAGCTCGAAGGATGGTGATAAAGTCGCTAGATAATGTCAAAATTTGTAACAGCTTTCTTCTTTCCTTTCTACCGTCTCAAATGCTCTGGAACGTTATTTTTACTCAACGTCGACAATTTCAAGTCCGTCGTTCGTCACGGAAACGAACTGTCGAGCTCAAGCCAAGTTTCATCATCATGCTGTGGGATTCGCCGGCAAAGATCAAAGGTACACGATCCAGTTCTGAGGCTGTTATCACTGCCGTTGGTATTGGGTATCAACTTGCGCAACATGACCTTCCTTCTTGTGCGCGTCGTCCTTGCTGCAGCAATCACCTCACTGTTACCGTTAGGTTTTCTGCGCTCCCATCAGCCAATTGTCATGCATGTCAATATCTCAGATCTGAATCCAACGTGTGATTGCGAATGTAACTAAACGTTCATGCACGTGAATCCGATTTCGCTTGCGGAACTTGGTGTAATTCAGTGGAATTATTTCTATAATGCATGTTCAAGTTGCTTTTCTTTTGAGTGTAGTGGCCTGGTTTGGCCATTGCCGTTCTCGACGCATTATTCTGCTAATAGGGAGATTCCGGAGTACGATTTTTCGTGCCAAAATCCGTAGAGGCGCTACGGATTTGTTATACGTCGTTTTCGAGCAGTGAAATGTTCTGGAGTACGGACCTACAGTATGTGTTTGCCGTCATTGCCCAGGTTACCATCGCAAACACGTCACATTCCCGCACTATGCCTTTTTATTTTGAAAATTTGTACCGAAATCAAAACTTCCCGCGGAAAATCGATGTTTCTCGTACCAAATTTGTACGCGAAAAATCTTTCTGCACCCGATGACACAAAATCTCCATACGAAACATGGTTCGTGTGAAAGCCAGTCCACACGGATTCTCCGTGCCGAAAAATCGTACAGTCCGTGCGCCAAGTTCAAAAAAGGCGTCTAAAAGTTGCACTTTTATTTGCAACCGCGGGAAATTTGAAGACGAATTTAGTGACATACCGAATTCTTCTCAATTTTCGACAATTGGTTACCTTGAGAATACAGGCTTATCCTCCTATATCGATTGCTTTTGCGCCGTTATCGTGTTAGAAGGGTGAGTGATGAGCACATTTTCGAAAGTGCACCACGATATTCGACATCTCACGTCGTTGCGGTGCCTTTTTGTTTCTCTTCTCAATTTCCCATTTCGTAGATACGTCGCAGGAGATTGTGGGCCGTCTTATTTTGCAAGGCTCTATCTCTGATAAAACTACGCGAATGGGCGGACAGATGGTGTTGCTATAGGCCAGGAAGAAACCACGAGTGTCCGCATTGTGACCAAGTCCAAATAGGCCGCCAAAGCCAGGGCTTGAAATTGCATCCTGACAGGCAATGCGGACCATGTGTAGCCTGCCAAGATGTTCCCCTTGATGGCAGATATGCCCAAGCCGAGACCACGCAATGCTGGGAATATGCACATCATCTTACAATACCACGAAATGCATGTATCTGCAAGAAATGCATGAAAAGGCTCATAAATCATTCAGCAGAGCCAATGCCTGTCACTGACAACGTGCAGCCTACAGAAGCAATGCCTGCACAGCATGTTGCAGCAGCAGCAGCAGCACCAGCACCACCACCAACACCTGTACCCGTACTCGCAACAACACCAGACTGCTCAGTAGATGGTTGTGACTTGCCACGGCATGTCACAGTTTCATTACAAGCAGTAGAGCAGTAGACTTTCATTACAAGCATTAAACGATCAGCCAGCGGGTCTCTGCAACCGGCATAACATGCAGCTACATGACAGCAACAGGCCCACATGCACCATGTGCAGCGCACAAATAAGGAGTGTTAATTAAGCGTAAATGTCCGAACGTCGGAGCCGTTCAACGTCAGCTGCACGCTGAGCGTGGTCTTACGGTCACCGCGGATAGTGCTTTTTGCCTAGCCTGTTATAAAGGCCAACTGGATATGGTGGACAGTCAGACTACTGACTTCAAGCTGGAGAGCCTGATGCAGAGTATAACAGACGAAATGCACCAGTGCACCTCACCCGAGGAGTCCGCATTGTTGGCAACAGCAAGATTCGTCTGTCTTGCATTCCTCGAGAACCGTTCTCTTCTTCTGGCAACGGCTGCTGATTTCTTCACCTCTTCTTTACCATCCATCAACTGCAACAACCGGTGGCTACTGTCCAGCCTTATTTCGAAGCTTGGCGCTCATCTCAGCCATGGGTCATATGGTACCAGTAAGAAACGAGGTACGCTCCTGTACCGTACAGGGTGTGACACAGTTCTGTGCTTATACAATTCCCTCGCCGTTGCACGATCCGAGACCCTGAAACACAGAGCACAAAATGAAACCCAGCGCACACAGCACACAAGCCAACCCAGTGGCCCATCATCCTTCGTGTCAGAGCTGTCGGCTGCAATGCACTCACAAAATTAATCAAAAGTCAAGCACAAGAATTCAAACACAAAGAGCATAACGTTCTAACTTCACTGTCGGAAATGAAGCTGGACGCAGTGGTGGATAGTGTGGACAGTGAGTTGTGGGGACACATTTGGCTGATGATGTACGGCCAATCAAAGTCAGAAGGAAGTCAATGTAACAGTTTTCCCCTGTTCTCTATAACTTTACACTCCCTCGCACCTCATGCGTCTTACGCCTGTCTATTAGCACCTTCATTGGCGCCATTGCCACATGTATACTATCACATTTTGCATATAACTGGTCGAGGCACGCTCAACCAGGCCTCTTACTTTTCAAGTTTGATTAAACCTGTTACACTGGTAGCAGAGGATGGTTACTACTCTGCTTTTGGCAGGTGTTCTGGTCGCTCTGCTTACGCTCCTCGTACTCGTCGTTCGGCTGATAAACGATATCAAGACCGCTCAGCGCGTTAG